CCCTTCCCCCGGGCTGAGCACCCAGCAGCAGACCGGCAAACTGCACCCGAGGCAAAGGTCTTCCCAGGGACCGACCGCGCTGGGCTTTTCCATCTGCATCCCAAGGGCAGCCGATGGGCTCTGGGAGCGGACACGTCCCGGGGAGTTGGGGAGTGCCGGCATTTGCGGATCTATCCTGCGCCTGGCTCCATGGGAAGGAAGGGGGGGTCTGGCTCTCGGCAGCTGCTTTTTTTGTCTCACCTACACCCTTTGCAGCTTTAAGCACCGTTTGGGTCGCCATGGGAGCTGCCCCTTCAGGGGTGGTGGTGAGGACAGCCAGGTCTCGTGTTTAAACTATTCCTCACCCAAAACACCAGAGAAAGTGCCTCTTTCACCTAAGTGGCTTTTCCCCAAAGATCTCACTCAGAAAAAATTGCATCTCCAGCTGTTATGATTGATGGTAGGGCCTCCGGAAAGAAGGACTACCAAGTGCAGCTGATGAACTATGGAAAAGTACAGTTCGAGATGCCTGAACGTCCCCATTCACACCCCAGGGAGCCGACTGACACCCACAAAAGCATTAAGGTCCTAACTACTTCACGGCCCGTAGGAAACCAGGCGAAACAGCGCACATGGAACTTGCAAGCGGCTTCCAGCGTAGGCCAGCCTTAGAAAAATCCACATGGCTTCCCCCCTCCCGAGCTTCATCGTGGAAAAAAACAGTACAAAAGGGGTTAGTTTGGCTGAAATTCCAGCCAGCGGGGCAGAAACGCGGATCAAGCAACCAGGAGTTGCCTTTTTAAAAAGCGGCCCTACGAGATGTCTTTGCTTGCGTCCACGCTGGCAAATTGTCTTCATTTGGAAATGCCTTCTCCCCCGAGGCTGTGCCGGGGGCTTCTAGCCACGACCCATGTCCGCACGGAGGCTGAGCACGGCTCTGCGGGCCAGGAGGCAGAGGGAGGCTGGCAGGCAGTGCTCACGCTGACGGCCAAGGCGCCGGCGCTGCGGCGGTGTGAAGGAGGCGGGTTCTCATCAATCCCATTCAGAAACACCTGTCGTGGAGTTCAATTATTCCTGCAGCTCCAGGGGAAGGTGGTAGCACAGCAGGCTGTGGTGCCAGGGAAGGAAGGAACGGTCTGCAGCAAGCAGAAGGTGGGTAAGCTGGAAGGAGACCCCACCTGGAGTGCTGCGTCCAGCTGTGGACATCAGAGGGATATTGACCACTTGGAGCAAGTCCAGAGGAGGCCACGAAGATGCTCAGAGGGCTGGAGCACCTCTCCTATGGGGACAGGATGGAAGGGTGGGGCTTGTTCAGCCTGGAGAAGAGAAGGCTCCGGGGAGACCTTATAGCACCTTCCAGTACCTGAAGGGGCTACAAGGAAGCTGGGGGGGACTTTTTACAAGGGTCTGTAGTGACAGGACAAAGGGAAATGGGGGTCAATTGAAAGTGGGGAGGTTTAGATTAGAGATCAGGAAGAAATTCTTCCCAGAGAGGGTGGTGAGGCGCTGGGACAGGTTGCCCAGAGAAGCTGTGGATTCCCCACCCCGGGATGTCTTCAAGGCCAGGCTGGATGAGGCTTGGAGCAACCTGGTCCAGTGCAAGGTGTCCCTGCCCATGGCAGGGGGGGTGGAACTGGATGGGCTTTAAGGTCCCTTCCAACCCAAACCAGTCTGTGATTCTATGAAGACTCTGGCTCCCACTGCCCTTCCGGGCCTGCACTGAAGTGCTGGTGACGCGCAGCAAGCCAGCCAAGCAATGCTTTCCTCCTTTTCCCTCCATACCTATCGCCAGCCAAAAACCACGGGTGTTATTCCTTAGCTGTCAGGATGCAGGGCTCTCAGTATGGCACAGCTGGAGGGACGGATGGCCATCGCACCAGCTGAGGGCTCTGGGCCCACAAACAGCCCACAGAGAACTAATTCGTAGGTAATGAGTTTTTTCTCTAGGCAACAGGAAGACAACCTTCCAATATTTAGTTAGAAGAGATTAAGCGTCCTTTGCGTCCTATTTGATAGGGCAAGAACGAGCCAGCACACGTAGTCGCAAAGGGAGTTAAACAAAACCAAACTATTTATGAATTGGTCCTGCAGGACAGAGCAGGGGCACTGGAAAGCTGCAGGTTGGAAAAGCTTCCCCACTAACCTCTGCTGAAGCTTGCGGCTATCTCCTGACCCTGACGCTTCCCTGCCACCAGTGACCCCTTCAGCAGTTGCCCGCCTGAGCTTTGCCGCGCCGCAGAGGCGGAGCGGCAGCCCCTCAAACCCCCTCTCTCCCGCACAAGCCTATGATCGCACGCTAACCGAAAAGGAGGCTAATCTTCGCATAAATTTGCACTTATCCCATCTTTCATAAGCATAACATGAAGGTGGAACACGGAGCGCTCGCAGGGAAGATGAAATGCAGGAACGGACAGCAGACTTGGCAGCACCAGCTCTGGCAACCTACTTCCCGGGAAGGCTGGCCCCGGGTGCCGCAGGCGAAGGGGCTCTTCCAGCCAGGTATGGGCTCTGGGGCAGCAAGCGGGGAACCCCCTTCTGACCCTCCGCGAGGGGCCTGCGCGTGCTCCGGCAAAGCTGGCTGCCCTTAGATCCCCGGCTGAACACCATCCAAAAGGAAAACTTTGGGAGGCTGCGAATGTATCTCAAACACTCTGTCCCATCTGCTTCTGTGACAATCGGGTAATTGTTGTGTAATTACTCGCCCCTCCTGGATAACTTCAGAACTGCAGAGCCCTGTCCATACGTACACACGGTACTTGCGTGCCACAGACGCACCCCGACACTGGTGTGCGCCTACGCCCGCATCCTCCCAGTTCTCACCAGACCCAGAGTGGTCGCAGATCCAGTTCTGGTGCAAGCAGAGGGGTCTTGCAAGTCTCGTATCGGATCTTTTGCAGTCACCTGCCACGGCCTCAAAGTCACGGAATCATTCAGTTCATTTCTCACGGACGACACGCATCTAGGAAAGGAAACAAGATGAAACGCACGCACAGTGGTGCATTGCAGGCGCCTTGTTACTGCAACAATCGCTCCAACTCGTCAATACGCGGATTGCTGCGGCGCACAGTTAATCACAGAAACAAGTTCTACTTCAGTAATCTCACTTCACAAGTTAAAACACAAAAAGCACTCAAAGTATTTACCGGTTTATTTGTATTAGTTAACAAAATCGGCAGTAACAGTATTTTTACGTTACAAAACGGTTGTTGGCCTGTCGGCCACAGCCGCAACAAGGGACTTAATCACCACTCCGGTGGTCTCTGGTCACAGCACCGTAGGAAACAAGGCTCGTCAGCAGTGTGGCTGCACCGATTGTTGGGCATAAAATGGTTCTAAAGACACATCTGGTAGAAGCTGCAGATATGGGCCAGAGATCCAGCCCCCACAGACTGGATATCCAGAGGTTTCATTTTGTTAACAGTAGAATATGGTAATCACAGCTGGGTTTTAAAGGGAAATCTGATGTGGCTCAGGTGCCTGCAGGAATAATTCACAGCAGAAGCCAGGGTAAGCACTTGTGGAGAGAGGTGTGAAGCAAAGGGGATTCCTCCTTGCTCCCACCTGTAAATGACACAGGTGCAGGTTCAGAGCACAACGGTTTCTTCCATGGGCTGTATCCAGAGAAGTGTGGCCAGCAAGTCAAGGGAGGGGATTCTGCCCCTGTACTCTGCTCTGGTGAGACCCCACCTGGAGTGCTGCGTCCAGCTGTGGAGCCCTCAACATCAGAAGGATATTGACCACTTGGAGCGAGTCCAGAGGAGGCCATGAAGATGCTCAGAGGGCTGGAGCACCTCTGCTATGGGGACAGGCTGAGAGAGTTGGGCTTGTTCAGCCTGGAGAAGAGAAGGCTCCGGGGAGACCTTATTGCAGCCTTCCAGTACCTGAAGGGGCTACAAGGAAGCTGGGGGGGACTTTTTACAAGGGCCTGTAGTGACAGGACAAGGGGTAACGGGTTTAAATTGAAAGTGGGGAGGTTTAGATTAGATATCAGGAAGAAGTTCTTCCCAGAGAGGGTGGTGAGGCACTGGCACAGGTTGCCCAGAGAAGCTGTGGATGCCCCATCCCTGGATGTCTTCAAGGCCAGGCTGGATGAGGCTTTGAGCAACCTGCTCTAGTGGAAGGTGTCCCTGCCCATGGCAGGGGGGTGGAACTGGGATGATCTTTAAAGTCCCTTCCAACCCACTCTATGATTCTACAAGTGGAATATAGAATTCAGTATGGCAAATAGGAATATCCAGTGTACAAGACTCTCAAAGATAACGTATACTATAAAAACTCTATGGTTAAGACAATTAAGTCCCAAGACTGTTTCAAACAGCTCCAGCTTTAGGATCTTTAATTATTTAAGTCATATCACTGAATCAAAAGAGGTCACTAAACCCAAGCTTCTGTATTCTGCTTCAGATACAGTTATGAAGCAGGAGGTTTGTAGAGGAAGTATGCTTTATATGCTCAGTGTCAACTAGCTTGGAATACAGCAGCTTAAAAATTATTACAGATCAAAAGTGAGTGATTGATTCTTTAGCACTTCTCCTTCCAGTCACTTCTCGCACTATGTTCTCAGTCATGTCTTGTTTTGACTTAAAAAAAAAAAAAAAAAAATCAGGGCACAGTTCCATTTACATGACTCATCAGGTGTTCTTCTGGGAGCTAAAAAGAAAAATAAATTTAATTACTATCATATAGTACTGCAGGCAACTTTCAGGCTGAATGATAATCAAATGTCATTGGGAAACATATGGCATAATATGAGATTGGCTGAACTCCATCATCTCAAGGAGTACTGAAAGCCTTCAAGGCAGCACCCACCTTCGGTTAGTAATTCCTTTCAGAAGAGCCCATTTACTCGTCCTGACACTGGGTCCAAGTCTATATCATAGAAACAGGGTCTTGTAGGAAGTCCTGGCATAGTGCTCATCTGGGCAACGAAAGACAGAATGTTAAAATGGAAGCAGCACTGTTTCATGCAGAAGATGCAATACCAAATCACTGCTGAAGAGTCCGATGGCAACAGCCCATGCATGTTCCTTGCACACGAACATAGGAGCGGGATGATGGTCACGTACCATTTACTGTGAGAATCAGGAACTCCCAGCTCAGTAGGAAGATCTGGGGGTTTTGGTTTTTTCTTTTTTTTTAATGTTGAGAATTTAGTTTGGCTTCTGCTACTGGCAGTGCCTGAGCCCAAGATTTGGCAAAGTACATAGATATCCAGCTGACCCGTTAACTGTTAGAGGAGCCTTCGCAAGGACTTTGCTGTGGTGAGACAATTACTTGTGGCAGTTTCCTGCCTATTAAGATGAGGATACATGTTTTAATACAACTTGGCTGACTGCGAAGTCTCAGTTGAACAACTCTTCAGCAGTCCAGAACTGGAAGTGTTAAATAATTAGGAATAATTATTGTTGAGAAGAGAGTTTAAAGAATCTGTGGGTTTAAAATTTTTTTTTTTTAACTGGGATAAAGCTTAAATAGAGATGGAGAGGTCAGTTCTCCTGCCTGGAACATTTCTGAGGCGTTCAAGTCAGAAGAGCTGTGCAGCGGCAGAACTGAAGCCAGCAGAACAGCTGCCAGCAGCATGCCTGCCTCAGGCCAGCCCTCTCCAGTTGTCCCACTGCCGAGTACCCACTTTCAGAGCTGTGGAACGTGGCCCGATTTTCTACCGCAGCTGACAGGTTTCCCTTCTCTAACTTGGCGTTTAGCCCAGCAGCACACGTAGGCTCAACACAGACGCTCTGCAAAGGTGGGCAACTTGTGACCATGCTTGGTAGCCTGTGCCAGCGGTCAATAACCCCTTTAATAGAAAATGAAAGGTCTCATTTTCTATCTGCATCATCCGGCCTCAGCTTTCGCAAACAGTATTGTCATGCCTGTCTCCATAAGATTAAAGATCTCTTTGGTAACCTGGCATTTTCTCCCTGAGCAAGTATTTTATGTACCAATCAAATTACCTCCCAATCTTCCTTCTGATAATAAGCTAAGCAGCAAGGAGGCAAAGCTCTACTGCTTAGGCGTTTTCTATGGTTCTCCAAACCGTTTGGGGGAGCTTTTGGGAGTCCCAACCCATTCTTCTAGGCTGTTTACAAGTGCTAACACCAGTCCCATATGTACCGTACCACTGCAGGTCTCGCATGGCTTGTGGGGAGGTAAAAAAAAACCCCAAAACAAAACAACAACAAAAAATCACTTCAGGGCTACTCTTGGTAACAAATTCTAGACCTGCACCAGCTTTGTGTCAGAGCTGCTGCTTCCGCAGACAGAGAAGAGCCCCATTCCTTGTCTTCGCGTTCAGCTGTACAAACATTTTGCTCTTGAGGGCCACGGTGGTAAGAGATTCAAAGTGCCTGGAGGGGTTTTCCTGTTCTCACCACAGTCACTGCCAGTCTCCGGTCACGCAGAGCAAGCAGCTTCCTATTTATTTACGTACCACTGAAGAGTCACAGAGCTTTGCAGGTCTCCACCCACAGCCTCAGAGGGCCACAGCAGGAGCAGAGACAGTGACATTCAATAGTGTAGGAGGTGCTGTATCACTGAAGATGGGTCTGACTTTACTATTTCTTGCACTTTCTATTTTGAAAGTAATGGTCAAATTTTCCTCCTTTCCTATCCACAGAGCTGCCCACAGTGGCTGCTCTGCTATCTCTTACTTAAATGCAGTCTGCTTAAACCCTGAATTTCTATGCAGTACAGTATAATTTCCATCCAGGCTACTAATTTTCTGTACAAGTGTATACAATGCTTAATGCACTGGTTTTCTGAGCTGAAAAAATGAACTTTTCTTTCATTATCCTCCTCCCCCTCAGCACCACATGTGCTGAAAAAGAACACAGGGCAATTCTCACTATTTACCTACATGAAAAAATGAGACCACATGGATGTCTTTAATCCCCTTGCAGGATTTGAAACAAACCCAATACCAGCTAGGCATGTATTATGTATTGCACTTGTGGAATTTCAAGAAACCCTGCCACTTAGGAACTAAAAAAAAAACCAGAGCTGAATAAATAATTTGCTTCCAACTCATCATCAGCACCAGAAGAGAAACCCAACCCATCTCAGTCCAATGATTTATTTCACTTTCATTATATTCCATGCTCAAAGTTAAATCTACATAATCTTTGAAACTGTATTTCCTTTAGAATCTCAAAGTATTTAATTAAAGTAAACCAGCTTCAACTCTGAGGCAGAAAACCCCAAAATTCAGAAGTTGAGAAAAAAGAAAATGTGACATAGCTTTGTGATTAACTTCAGATAACAATATGCATGCACTGGTAATTCATTTCACCTCGAATTTCTCAGAAGAGCTTCTGCACAGAGCTACATACTTGCAGCATCTTCAGCTTACAGTTCAATGGCTGCTGCCAAAAATGTATCCTGCGGCTAACACACCTCCGGCTGAATGGCTTTAAAATAGTGATCTGATTCAAAATGCCCTGGATTGCTTCTCAACAGGACATCCCTTTCCTGGTTTTGTAGGCACCACAGAAGAGTGACCTGCATGTCCCTCAGCAGAAGACATGCTGTTAATTCTGGCAGAACTAACACCGTGATTTACTAGATGTCCAAGAAAATATTAAGAATCTGGAAAGGAGCAGAAAGGAAAGAGTCCAACTTCATAGAAACAGAAGACATCCAGGAAGAGGGCTAAAATGTTAGTTTTAATGTCTGAAAACATCTTTCTCTTGCGTAGCTCACTAATGCTGCGTACCCTTTCTTTCTCCAGTGCTTATTAAAAAAACCCAATAAAAATTGTTTGGACTAAATCCTGGCTGGCAAAAAAAAGTGCCATTAATAATAGGAACAAGCATGCTATCCTTTAATTTCATACCAAAGCACACATTACTCTTTAAAAACATGGATAAGCCAGACTTTAATCAGGATGTGGTTATTTTATTTATGTTGGGTAGTCTGGAAACCCTTACGTGCCTTTCTTTTTTTTAAAGAATTAAAAGGAAAAGATATTCAATATTTAGCTAGCATTTGAAGGAAGAAGGGATCCAACTCTTAAATCAGCAAATTCCATCACCTGACCCATGCACCCCTAATACTTTTGAAAGCTTATTAAAACAAACATCTTGCCATGAAGACTTCAGAAAAAGATTCAGGCCCCCAAAATAAGAAAAACACAGAACTGCTTGCTCCAACTGCTCCATTCCCAAAAATAATCTAACAAGGTACTTAATATTTGCCCAGAAGAGATTCCCAAGGTAAGACTTCCAGTGGATCCTTTCATCTTAACATTCTTTCTTGGTGCAAACCGTAACATTAGTTCATTTGGCAGGTAGCTCCTCTTTCTGCCAGGCAATTCATACTGAAGCTATTCCAGGATCCTGTTTCCCTCGTAGCTACTCCCTCTCCTCTCAGCTGACATGATACCAGTCATGTCCAAGAACAGAAACTTAAAAACTCGAGGGCACAGTGAAATGAATTGTTGGAACTGGTGCAGGCCGAACAGCAAATAGATGGTCAGCAAAACCATGAGAACCAAATGGGACGCGGGGCTGATAAGTGATGAATAGTGCAGGTCAGCTTCACTTTGGAGGGGTCTCATCAAAAGTTATTTGCTTTTTAAGCTTTGGAGGAGTTTTCTTGTTCTGCCCTGATCTGCAGGTGTAGACAGACTTCACCTGCACTACTGCAGAGTGCTTTCCTCAGGAATGCGAAGTCACAACAGCGATGAGGTGGGCCAAGGATTTCTCCCATCCTCCCTACTAGACTGCAGTTCCCAGAATTCGTTAGCTACAGAACTCATCCTTTCCTCAAAATCCAGGAAGACAGGGACGTGAGACCTGAGGAGTACACTGGGGGCTTGCTAACTATTGAAATGTCAGATGAATCCTTTCCCTCTGAAAAAAACCCACACTATTAAGGGCATCTAATACTCTGGACTCTTAAAACACCAACTGGAAATGGACTCTCCTAAGACAGCTGTTCTAACTGCTTCCTGGAATTCACACTGAGGTTTTTTCCTTGCCCCAAGCTGAGGGTTTCACTCAATCACATACCGTTCCTATGAGTGGATACAGGAATCCAGCACCAACACTGGCCCGAATGTCTCGGATTGGCAGAATAAAACCTGTAGGTGCTCCTTTTTGTTCAGGGTCATGAGACAACGATAAGTGAGTTTTAGCCATGCAGATTGGCAGGTTTCCAAATCCCTGGGAAAGGCAATGAGAAGAGAGAGAGAGAGAAATAAGTGAAAACCCAGTAACTTGTCCAGTGCACAAGTGTAACTGATTTATTCTGCCATTCTCTGTAGACATCAGACATTTTGTCAGGGCATTTTGCTCTTCGCCAATTGCTTCAGCCACAGCCTGTCAGATCTGCTGACCATTCTGCATCCCCATTCCTTCTCTCTCAAGCTCTCTCCCTGCCCTCTGCTAAGTATTAAAGAAAGAACCACCATGGCCCCCAGCACATCCAACTAAGGAAAAAAATTAATGGTATGGAAGTGTCAGATACACAACCTTGATAGCTAACTTTCTACTCTCTTCCCAAAATGTTAATGTAAACAGCTCAGAACTGAAGTTCTTGTTCAGCTGAGGTCAGTTAATTAGAATTGTTTGATCAATGTAATTGCAGATCACGAGGAAGTGGAAATTACATGCCTACGGTATTTGTATATTCTTTTACAAGTCTATCAAAGACACATGAACGTGAGAAACTATACATGCCAGGAGTAAATGGACTGCAAAAACAAAATTACTTGAGCACACTGCAAATAAAGAATGGCTGGTTCTCACATTGCCCTTCAAGTGCCTTTACAGACCTTCATTAATGCACAAGCAGATAAATTCACAAGAACTTCATGCTAGAGAAGAGTACAAGCAACACAACAACCAGAAAGCATCTAATTCAACAAGCAGTTGCCAAGTTCAAAGCTTATGAAAGTAGACTTTTTTCCACAAGAAGTATTGTATCACCTGTGGAACACTTTCCTCAGTATAAATGTGACTGCCAAAAATCCACATGGGTTCAAAAACTAATTAGACAATTCAGTGGAACAAGATTTAAAAAAAAACAAAACACAACAAAAAACCCCAAACCAGCGACTATTCAGCACCAGTGTGACCGGTGTAGTTCCAGTAGTTCCTAATTCCTAAATTGCTGCAGGACTGGAGAGCACAATAGAGAAAGATCACTGAATCCTGCCCTCCTCTCCCCACACACTATCACAGGTGTGCTACTGGGCCTCATGAGTTCTGTTTTCTCCAGTAGAAGAAGCCAGGGCCAGTTCCTCCCTCCCCACACCACCTCCTCTTCCTCCTCTGCCATAGCAGCATCTAACAATTCCTGGACAAGGACATGATTCGGGTGACGATTCCCTTCACACACAGTTTGACCATCACCATTCAATATGATGAATTCAGTACCAGTTCAACTGGTATCAAGTGATGAGGAAAAAACTCACTTGCTTAGTGTACAAGGTGACTTTCTCCTGTGCTTCTGGAAGTAGCTCAACGTCACTTGCCCCGTAGATCTGCTGTGCAATAAGTCTGATCTTATCTATAACAGGGAGCTAGAAAAAAAAAAAACCCAAACCAGACAGGCAAGTCAGTGAGGCCAAACTACAAAGAGCAGTAGCTTCATAGCAGCTTCACAATCCTTCATACAAGTTGTGCAATGTCCATCTGCAGATATAAGAGCTATTCCCATTTGCTGTAGGACAAAGCTCTACAGTAATTTGGGGATTATTTAATTTATCTTGTTGCAGCTGTTTCTCTTGGTAAGAGGAAAAACTAGTTTACTACAGTCAGAAACAAAAAGATAGACAACAGTATTTCTTATAATCTCTTCTTAGATGTTAATTACCCCCACCGCAAGAGAAACATCCCTATTCTCTCTCAAATCTAAATCAAAAAGTAGGGTATACAAGTTAATGCTTAAATGAAAGCACAAATAAAACAAGAAAAAAAAAAAGAAAAAATTGAAAGAATCTGTTAAGGAACTAAAACAGACACAATGACACAGCTCTGTACCTCATTAGGTTTTTGAATAGGGGCTTGCTATTAAAGGAGGATTCAGGCCATAACCTGGGAACTAACAGTGACTTCATTACTTCCAAGTCATCTGTCAAATCTGCTTAATGTATGCAGCAATTAGAAATACACACGGAGAAGGTCTTCCACCCAGACCTGTACTGTGACTCCATAAGCCTTACTTGCATAATAAAAAAAAAAAACAAAGCAAAAAATAGACAAGTTCTGTCCCATAGCCTGCTGTATTGATTCCCATCCTCAGCAACAAGTACACTCAGCAGCTCTGGTGTAAGGTAACCAGTTTGGTCAGGCTTGTTCCAGTCCGTGCTGACATGTATGCCTGTCTCAAGGTCATAAACTCCCCTTACGCTGGAATGTGGCTGCCCCGTGAGAAACCTGTTTGTCATCTCTAGCAGAGTCACAGCAGCATCTTTCAGTGTCACAAGTAAACAGTATTTCACTGGGTAGTCAAAACTGACTAACTAGGTCTTGGAGACTGGTGGAATAGATGTTGCGTTCTAACCCCAAATTTCATCTCAGTTTCTCAGAGCAGCCTCTCCGACAGCCTTCAGCAACTTACGTTAGTGAAACCCACTGATCTCCACCTTGTAACCGAAGTGCCTCTGTAATACTGCGAGTTCTCACCTCCACATTATAGAGGAACCTGAAGTTGCTGGGTGTCTGCGATGCTCTCTGAACAGCTTGGGCCAGTGCAACCGCTCCTTTACCCCCCTCTGCCCAGTGAGTGCACTCCACAGCATCGAAGGCTCCCGCTTCCTTTGCCAGTTGTACTACAAGGGCCAGCTCAGCCTTTGTATCTGTTCTGTAAGGAGAAGAGCTTGCACATTTGTAGCAGAATGCTCACAAAGCAAATTAACTGTTTGTTCTAACCATTTTCACTCCTGACAAGATCCAAAAGCTGTCCAAGGAAGTTGCAGAATCCAGCCATCAGGAAGCTGCTGAGGGGCTATCCACCTTCTCCACCTTGAGGAAGGAGGCTACTCCACAGAGGACCAGACAGCAACAGGTAGCTCTGGAACTACGTGCGGAAACCCCGGCCTACTGACAAGAGCAGCATTCCAGACGTTCTGCTGTTTCTGTCCTGTATCAGCAGTGCAACTCCCGTTTGCATCAGCAAACTCAAAAAGGCATTAGTATTGCTGATTCAGAGATGCTCAGGTGTGCTATATCGTGTGCCATATCATGTGCACCCAACAAGCTAAACCCCATAATTTCTCCAGATGAGCCAATAAGCATTTACTTCATCTGAAGAATGCTTAGCTGGCTCCTCTGCTTCAGCTGGCATCAGGTTTAACACACCAGTTCAAAGCCCTTCTGCTTTCATGGAGGCCACACACAAATTCTGTTTCCTGTGCAGTACAATATGCAGAGCCCCAAATGCTTCTTTGCAGGGCATAATTATTCCATATAGCAGACCACTGAACACAGCCTGGCTGACAGCACAGGTACCTCGCCACCTATTATGAGCTTAGATTCCACATCGTCACAAACTCCTTTTGTCCACAGCAATTTGGCCAGTTAGGGTACAACTGATGTCACACGACAGCCAATAAATCCTTAGCCAATTTAAACCAAGGAATGCGTTTGAAATGACTAAGCAGAGCTCCCTTATTTATTCAGCAACTTCCACCAGTGCAAAATGCTGCAAACAATACCTCGACAGTACTGAAAGCAAGAGTTTGTGTTAAACATAGCACAGCCACATACAGTGCCACAACTTTATACCCATGCACCACTTCCACATCCCAGCTCACTTACTTGAAAGCATTGACAGCCACTACTACTGGGACACCAAACATCCGTGCATTTTGGATTTGCTTGTTTAGGTTACTACAGCCTTTTGCCAACAGCTGAAGATTCTGTAAAGGTGACAGGAAGCATGTTTTATCGAGGCAGTGAAACTTATGTCCTAAATCCACTATGTCTGCAGCTAATGGTAAAAATGTCAAAAGGGGAATGAAACCACAAAGGCAACCCCCCAGGGCTGCTTTCTGAACAGTCCAGAGCAGTGCAAGCTCTTGGATGGAAGACAGGAAAAGGAATGACTCTTCTAATAATCACTGGTTTCAGCTGCCAAGCCAAGGTAAGAGAAATCCCTTTTTATCCTTTTTTTGTTATTCTGAGTAAGTTAATGCCAGTGTTCATTAACTCCCCACATTAAAGCCTCATTCTCCTCTCTGACACATCCCTCTTTATGTACTAAGTATCATTAGCAGTGAATTTCATGACACTTGTTTGAAGTCTGTGGCAACAGCTTTCAGTTTACACATTTACATTTTGCAGCATCAGAGACTATTCATGGAAATCCAGACATTTCATCCCTTCCTATGAAAACAATAATCTGTACAGAAGCTCCACAAGTGAAAAAGCTGCAGCAATGTAAAGAGAGCCAGATCAATTATCCAACTGTACACAACTGTTCAAGGCACAAAGACAGAAGCTGAGACTTCAGTTCACTTTCCTCTCTGCTTGCAAAGGAGTGCGAGGGGAGTAAAAACAAAAACTGCTGCTGCTAAGAAGAGAGTAATTAGAGAGGCACTCTGAGTATGATATGATTCTATGATTTTCAGAGACAATATTTCAGCCAAGTAATTACTCCATACTGAGAGGGTCAGGGTACAGAGTAGATATTACTATGAAAAATTGAGCACACAGACAAGGGCATGAGCTCAGGAGAAAAGGAAAGACTCTGAATACTGGCGAGGTCAAGTACAATAAATGCTTGAAAGAGCAGAGCCAAAGTATCATCATTAAAAAAAAAACCAAAACCCTGAACATTACAGCTTGTATGAGGAAGCATTTCCGTGGCAGCTAAAGAAATGACACACCGGCTATCCAGGCATGCACCACGTGACAGTATCGTGTCACGACTACTGTTAATCGGTCAACTGTCCCAACAGATAAAGAAGGTTACCTCTTCCATGTACTCCTTTGGTAAGGGTACCCCAGCAGTGACCTGGGAGAAAGAAAAAAGGCAAATAAAAGGAAAAAAAGAAGAAGCCTCATGAGATTTTTTCCATGACAGCAATTTGTGCTTGATACTCATTAAATGGCATCAAGAGATAACATTCTACTCCAGGCTGATCCTTTCTTTTCTAAGGAAAAAAGAAAATGAAGAATAAAAGACTGCAAGATGCAGTCACAATACAACAAGTGATTGACTGTGGTAAAATCACAACTGTCCCAGCATACAAGCACTTCATTAGGACAATAAAAGAAGCAAGTATGTACCTGTAACATAGAATCACAGAATCATAGAATCTTTTAGGTTGGAAACAACCTTTAAGATCATCAGGTCCAACTGTTAACCCAGCACTGCCAAGTGCACCACTAAACCATGTCCCCTAAGCACCACATCTACATGTCTCTTAAATTGGTACTTCCAACCCCCCCCGGGCCAGCCCCTTCCAATGCTTGACAGCCCTTTCGGTGAAGAAATTTTTCCAAACATCCAATCTAAAACTCCCCTGGCACAACTTGAGGCCGTTTTCTCTTTTCCTATCACTTGGGAGAAGAGACCAACCCCCATCTCCCTGCACCTTCTTTTTAGTCAGTTGTAGAGAGTGATAAGGTCTCCCCTGAGCCTCCTCTTCTTCCAGCTGAACACCCCCCGCTCCCTCAGC